CCAAACAAGTTAATGTAAAGTTGGTTATGTACAGCGACTTCTATTACCCATCACTTTATGAAAATAGTAACATACAACGTTAAGGGGTTGAATACCCCACGGAAAAGGAGACTACTCTTCCAAGAGGTTAAATTTCAAAGGGTGGATGTGGTATGCGTCCAAGAAACACACTTTCACAATAAAACTACACCTGCCCTTTATAAAACATGGTTTCCTACTCAATTTCATGACTTATCAGAAAAGAAAACCAAAGGGGTATCCATTTTCATACATAAGATGTAGCCTTTACACTGCAGAGACAACATATAGACCCTAGTGGCAGATTTATTAATATACTGGGCCTATTTAATGACGTCCAATACACCATGGTATCAGCCTATTTCCCGAATGCGGATTTCACTGCATATTTGCAGTCACTACTGGCTAGGATTGAGGAGTTTCACCAAGGAGGTCTGATCCTCTGCGGGGACTTCAATTTTAATCAATCATTGGACCTGGACAACTGCTGCCCTGACAAAAACCAGGAAGAAACGCATGATAGCCACCTGCAAAAAACGAAATAAGCTACTGTCACATTATGGGCTATACGATGCCTGGAGGTTTCTCCACCCAACAGAGCACAATTACACATTTCACTCAGGAGCACACAATACATAATACACGGATTGAAACTTTCTTTCTAGATCGTGGGGCCCTGGCTCAAATGTCCGCTTGTACTATAGGCGACATTTCCTGGTCCGACCATAGCCCAGTGGTACTTGGAAGAAAACACACCAGTCGTCCCTCCTAGAATGTCACAAACAATTAGCCTACACCTCTAGTCTAAACAAAGCCAACCCGTCACCAGAATTGGCAGCTAAACTACCCACCTTAAATAAATGATGATCGGCGAGGAATTCGCTGACTTCTATGCCAAGCTTTACAACCTGAGATCGGACCCCAAAACCCACACACCTAATAGATGATTTCCTAGGGAAGGTTTAACTGCCATGGTTCACTCCCGAGCAGACCAGTTCCATACTCCAACCAATATCGCTAAATGAAGTCCTAGACACCATCCGTGGACTCCCTTCGGGTAAATCACAGGCAGGGGACGGATTCTCCAATGAGTATTACAAACAACTTGTGGGAATTCTGGTGCCTCACCTATTGTCTGTGTTCCACTCAGCCTCAGTCTCTGGCTCTCTGCCTGGTGAGATGTTGTTAGCCACAGTAGTTACAATTCCTAAACCAGACAAACCCCCTACCATTTGTAAAACCTTTCGCTCCATCTCCCTCCTAAACACAGATGGCAAAATCTACGCTAAGACCTTAGCTAACAGACTCCATTCACTCCTCCCGCACCTCATAAACAATTATCAAATCAGGTTGGTTAGGGACAGGCAGGGGCTTGATAACACGTGTAAGCTCTCACTGGTACTGGAGCATCTCAGGGGCTCTGGCCGGGGCGGTCTGTTGTTAGCACTGGACGCAGAAAAGGCGTTTGACCGCCTGGGCTGTAGCTTCCTGAACGAAGTGCTGGCCTCTTACGACTTTCCAATAGAGGCTATAGGCCAAATATTTGCCCTCTGTGCAGAACCCGCAGCAAAGGTACTACAATCTGGCTTCCTATCACCCGAGTTCACTATTACAAATGGCACGAGGCATGGGTGCCCCTTTCCCCTCTTCTCTATGTCTTACCCCTTGAGCCACTGTTGCAGGCAATCAGAGTCAACCCCCTGATTACAGGTATTCACAACAGGGAAATCAAACTCAGTCATTTGCGGATGATATTCTCCTGTACGTCTCAGAACCACAGACCTCTCTATCTCCTTTGCTAGACGTGATACGTACGTATGGATTAGTCTCTTACTGCTCCCTCAACACTAACAAAACCCAGGCACTGTGCATGGGAGTCCCTTCAACAACCCTAGATTTCCTCAAAACACACCTATGGGCTCCCTCTACAATGTACAAACTCCTGGCAGCCTAAACAAAGCCACTCCACCACCATGGGGATGTAACGTCCCCCCTCTATGGCTACCAGTAAAAGGGAGGGAGGGCGGGCAGAATAAAATTACAAATATTTTTTTGTGTGTGTGCACATACTGCAGTGCCTATTCTACCCAAAGGTGTGCGCACAGGGTGTTCCGGGTGTGCCTGGGCACACCCTAGCCCCGCGGCACGTCTAATGATTGAGAGCGGTAGGGGAGATCAAAAAATCTCCCCTGCTGGCTTAAGCATAGCAGATTGGCCCCGAGAGAGGCTATGAACATAGAGCTCCGTTCCGTTTGGTTATGGAGCAAAGAGCCTCCAGGCTGCACGCAGGGCAGCCCTCTCGCGACCTCTGATATTTTCAGAGCGTTGACGTGGAAGCCCTAATTTTAATTTAAATAATGAAACAATCAAAAATAATTATTTAACCCTATCCAGCCCTAATATACATAAACTATACCCCACCACTTACACACTACACCCTATATACACACACTGCACACCTTATATACACCCCCTTTATACACACTACACCCTATATACACACACTGCACCTACACACACTATGCACCTTTTATACACCCCCTTTATACACACTACACCCCCTGCACCTACACACTATACCCCCTATATACACACTACACCCCCTATACACTGCACTCAATCACTACACACACTCTATACTCCCTATAAACACACACATTACACCTCCTGCATACACACATACAAAAGCATTACACACTCTATACCCCTATGAACACCCCACCACTGCATTCATACTATGCCCATATACACCTCCTGTGCACCCACTGTACCCCTATGCACACACAACTCCCCTAAACACACACTACACCCCCTATTACCACACCAATACACACATGTGCACAACACCTATATGCATAAACACAATGCCACCCCCTGCAACTCCTAGATACACAAAATACAGTCCTTACATGCAAACGCAACACACCACTAGGCACACACACTCTAAAGGCCCTATAAACACAAACACACACACACATAATATACAGCCTAAAAACACACCTATACACTACAGGCCCCAGCTACATATTATACACCACAAACAGACCCCTTTACAGTCTACAGCATAACCGGTCTCCTCTACACACATGCAAGCACATAAACATCCAAACACATTTAACACCACAGGGAGCATCCCCACACATGCAAAAACACTTTAACAATCCTTTTCCACTTGTGTTCTCCGGTACCCACTACTGGGGACACCAGAGACAAGTCACTAGGACTTTTTCTCCATAAGAGAGCACTGAATGCTCTGGAGGGGCATCACACTAACATAACAATTTGGAGGGCGGGTGGTGCTTGTCATTGGTGGCGATATAACGCGCCACATTTCTGGACCAGCCTTCCTAGTGGGCTGCTCTGCCTTTAACTGCCTGGGCTGATTTTTTGTCCCAGTCCAGCCCTGCTCACCGGCCCACAGGCAGGAGAGGACCCAGGTAGCTCTAGCCAGCAGTTCCGCCAGGTTCCTCTCGCGAGGTCGGAACGTTGCCAGGGATCAGGGATGGCAGCACACACACACACTAACAGCACCCTCACACATACACAGCAGTGTATGTATGTATGTATATGTGTGTGTGTATATAAATATATATATATATACATACACATATACATGCGGCGTGTGTGTTTGTGCTTTAGGGTGCACACCCTAATGCAATAGGCTGCGCACGCCTATGATCCTACCCTACATATTAGACACACACACTGAACCCACTACACAAACACTGTATCCACTACACACTCTACATCCATTATAAACACTCTGCATCCACTCCACACACACTCTACAACTTTGTGGGCGGACTTGGGTGCAGGCTCCAGGGGCCCAGACCTTGAGCTGTGTAAGGGGTCCCAAATTTCTAAAGGTAGCCTTGCACAAAGCCATTGAAGACATCCTGAAAAACCTGCTGAAAGAGGCTTCTGGGAATAGATACAAGGCTATCAAAGATAGCTGCTCGCTGGCAATCGGTGAGTCAGAGCTACTATGATACATGGCCTGTATGCAATCGGTGAGTATGGTGACCACACAGACATATTACAATATGCCTTATGCAGCGAAGCATCGGATCCCATACAGCTCTGTATTATACAATATTCATAAGCTTCATTATAAAAGTCAACCCATATAAAATAATATAGATGGACCTGGTACAGAAAGCACTCTTACCTAATGGCATACATCCCACATGACAATTTAACTTAGTTCTTTTTGGTTTGTTGTTCTTAGTGATTGACGTATAGTGCACTTAGCTAATATTTTATTACCATTGCAGAAACATATGTTGCGACATCTAATTTAGTGTGTATTGCTGTACTGTTACTGGAACGTATTGATCTAATCATGATCCTGATACGTTTCATTGTAGTTTTAATTATCATGATTAACATAATGACTGTAGGTGTGTTTTGGTGGCATGGTTTAGTTGGGGGGGGCAGCACATTGTCTTGGACTTGTGTGCATGCGCAGTGACAGCGTCAGAATACCCTACCATACACCACTGATTTAGGCGCATGCACACTCGTAGCATGAGAAAACCCTACCCCAATACTGAGCATGTACAGTTTAATGTCATATAAGCATGCACACTCCCAACATTCCAGAACCAGAGCGCATGCATGCGCACGGCACACAGTAAGTATCCCATAACCCTCCTCTTTGTGGTTCACAGGCTTCCCACAAATGTAAGCCAACCAACAACCGATTCGACCTTGCTTCCGGTGCGGGCGTGTCACTGGAAGTGATGGGGGGGGAGGGGGGGGGATTTTTTACGGGGCACCAGTCCTGGTAATAACAGAACCATATATAATTCCACTGAATATGTATTTGTTTTAGAAACACTCCTAATTTAATCTGTAACCCACACAACAGTAATTCAAACCATTTGTTTCCAATTATAATATGTAAGCTTCTTTACCACATTCTCCCACTAGAGGTCACTGAAAGACCACTTTACTTTGCCAGTACTAAACATGTCCGCTAGGCGACTTCCTCGGTAACTGTCCTGCCCCATCCAACATGGCGGCGTGTGGACTTCCGTCGGAACCAGCATGGCGGCGCCCAAGTTATGAAACATTAGCGTGAGAATGGCGGTTGAAGTGAGATTGCCGGTAGCAAGGAAGCGAGTTACTGAATCGGTGCAGTTAGACAATACCCGGCACCTGGTATCACCCGGGGACACCATCACCACTGACACCGGGTTTATGAGGTGATTTTGGACACGTGCATGGCCACATGTTATATTCAGAACTACACATATTCTTAAAATGATCTAGGTTACATTGTTTCATTCAGGTGGTATGCCACATTCTTTTATGACAAGTCTGCTTCAAGTCATTGAGAAAACAGAGTATTATTTCAGATGTTGATGCATTTCACTGGAGTGCTGTATTTTATTTACTGTAAAAAAAGTAAAAGTGTATTTTAGCGTATTTTATTATTTTTCAATTTCACTAAAATCATATAGCGTATCTTATTCTAAACCAGGGGTAGGCAATCTACGGCACTAGTGCCATGCACGACACTCAAGGCTGCTACAGCCAAACAGGCTCTGTCCTATCGGGAGTCCCAGTAAACATCAGATATCTGCTAATACGAAGAGGTGGTGAAGGACAATGCTCAATTTATGCATTGCAGCACGTAGAGTAAGTGATCTCAGGTCCCTTACTCCCAGCACTTGTAAATGGGAAGCCACACTGTGGTAGAGCAGCCCACAGCGAATATTGCAGCTCCTGCCCTTCACCTGTACCTGGCCAGCCTGGTCTCCACTGGAACCTAGGGAAGCCACCCACACTGCTAGATATACACAGAAATGCACAATAACCCTCCCCTCATACAAATACGAACAGCCCACAAACATACACACAATTCGCACAAACGTAACCTGCTAACAATCCACATACATGCACACAACACCACATACAGCCTCTCACATGCAATACCCCAAACAGCCTCACACATACACACAATGTGACACATGCATCCACACACACAATTATTCCACAAGCAGCCCACATTCATATGTATCATACACGATACCACAAACTACTCCTGAACATATACAATATAATAGCTCATATGAGAACTCTTAACTACAGTAACCGACTGACTTTTACAACAGTAACTGACTCGTAACTGTAACTGGGTCCATTCTATGGTACACAACCATCCCGTTACAACAGTAACTGACTCTTAACCGTATCTGGCTCCATTCGATGGTACACAACCATCCCGTTACAACAGTAACTGACTCTTAACCGGAACTGGCTCCATTCGATGGTACACAACCATCCCGTTACAACAGTAACTGACTCTTAACCGGAACGGGCTCCATTCGATGGTGCACAACCATCCCATTACAACAGTAACTGACTCTTAACCGTAGCTGGGTCAGTTCTATGGTACACAACCATCCCGTCAATCATTAAAATTATATATATATATATATATATATATATATATATATATACACACACACAGTTATTAACTAAAGTCTGAATTGGCAGAATTTCATAGTGACAAATCTATGCCAAAGTAGCTAACACAGAACTTTAAATTTGTTCTGTTTACGTTAAATTTGGCTATATTGGCATCAGGTTTAAAATTCACACTTTGGTTATTGCCAATGGTATAGTGCACTGGAAGCCAGTCATTTGCAAATAAAGCCACTTGCTTTTTCTCGTTCTTTGAAAAATCCTCTGCATAAAGTTTCTCATCCACTCATGGGTGAGAAATACTGAGCACGTTTACTTTTTTCTTACATATTATGCAACTTTGTTTTTTTGATCCGTAAACGTCTGCTGTGGAATAAAAGCAGTAACATAACCAGGATTGGTTTAGAGGTCTCAGCCATAGCTGAGATGTTCTTCACTCCTGGGTCAGGACCAGGAATTATGTCCCCATTGGTTGAAAAGTGCATTTTGTTTTCACCAAGCCACAGACAAGTGCTTGCAAAACATAGTTTCTTGTAGTATCTGTGTTTTACCAGTACAATTGGATGAGTCTAAGGTGTTTCTTTTCCATAGTTGTAACATTATATAAAAGAAAAAAGTCACCAAGCCAGTGTTATTTTGTCGACTAACTATTTTAGTCGACTAAAAAAATTCAGTTGACTTAAAGGGACTCTCCAGTGCCAGGAAAACAAACAGTTTTCCTGGCACTGCATGTCCCCTCTCCCTCCCACCCCCCCCATCCCATGTTGCTGAAGGGGTTAAAATCCCTTCAGTGACTTACCTGTATCCAGCGCCGATGTCCCTTGGCGCTGGGTCAGGCTCCACCTATTCTCCCCCCCCCTCTGCCGGCGGGAGAGACCTATTGAGCATGCGCGGCTGGCGGCGGGGGAGACCTAATGCGTGTATTAGACCTCACCATAGGAAAGCATTGAATAATGCGTTCAATGCTTTCCTATGAGGATTTCAGCGACGCTGGAGGTCCTCTCATAGTGTTCTATGAGACAGCCTAGTAGACAGCCACTAGAGGAGGACTTAACCCTTCAAGGTAAATATTGCAGTGTAAAGGATCCTTCTATTCGTGCAGTGCTGATCCTTGTAGCTTCTCCCGAAATCCAGCTGAAACGAAGTGATTATAACTCCCAATCCCCCAAACATGAGTCGAGACTTCATGAAGGGTTAAAACGATCTGATTTACTGTGGGCTACCTGCCCGGTATTTATGCAGGTCTCCCACCTGGTGGACACTCCCCTAGGGGACCAGATGGAAGACTGGGACAAAATATCACAGTAGCCAATCACAGTGGCTATAACATAAGCACTCCCCTTTTACATAAATCACTCACTCTTTTCCATCCTGGCTTTTCTTATTATTCATCAAACAGTATAACAATCTATAACTTTCATTTTACATGACATAAACTGTAAGTCCCACATACCCCCAGATAGCTTGGATCTGAGTGCATATTCTAGGCGAATAGCGCTCAGATGCCACGAACACAGTTCTCAAAAAGGTCGACTGAAGTTTGACTTTCACCGGCCGTTCGCGTGTTTGTAACCGCCAACAAGTTCCATACTGTAGCTATCTGGGGTCGGTCCCTTTCGCACACATCCAACGAACGAATGGTGTAGGGTCTCCGGCATTCGTGTGTTTTCCCCCTCTCACGAGGACCTGGAGAGGTAGCAGCGGTGTTCGACAAAATAATTATCCGAAATTAGTTCCAGGGCATCGCCGCCATTTACTGCTGGGCGTTTGACAATCCAAAATGGCGGTTGCCACGTGTTCGGTAGACGAACGCGGACCACCAAGCTATTCCCCAATTAGTCTGCGGTTAACCGCAAAGTCTGGGTGGTTAATAGGCGCCACACGACCTCAGTAGGAGGTCGGGTGATTCGGCAGTTCATTTGTTTTTCTCGCTATTTGCACGAAATCACCCTATACGCATCTAAATAACTGAACGGGCTGGTTCGCATAGTTTGTTCAATAGGGGATTTTGTTACATGCAGTTTATGAAAACTGCAATAATTACACTTGCAGGGTTACGGGTAGTGGGAGTTGGCACCCAGACCACTCTAGTGGGCAGAAGTGGTCTGGGTGCCTGGAGTATCCCTTTAAATACAACTAAAATGACATTTTAATCAAAAGACTATGACTAAAATTTAAATTTAAATTTGCTGCCAAAAAAGGAGCTGCGGAAGGGGCAAAAGAGAAAGACCAGGGCTTGGGAGAGAGACAGCTAGAGGGGCTGGGCAAAAGAGGCTTTAACGTTGCGTCGACTAAAACTATTCATATGACTGAAATGACTTTTTAGTTAATTGACTGACTAAAACTAAATTTACATTTGCAGTCAAAATTAACAGTGCACCAAGCAAGTAGTACACATATTGTGTGCCCCTGCTAAGAGGAATAAGCATCACTGCTCTTTAGTATTTAGGAAATGGTTAATAAATCCACCCGGCGTCCGGTTTGAGCACAGCAGATATGTTTAGAAGCCCTTTCAATATTTTTTGTAAGATTTTTTTCGTGTTCCTAAATGTGAGCAGTTTTACATATTTTATAAAATGTACCTATGTGTTTTCAGAGGTCATGGAACTTATATGGAAGATGAAAAGCTTTTAGCATCAGTGGCCGGTGTGGTAGAGCATGTGAACAAACTTGTATGTGTCAGAGCCTTAAAAACCAGGTAAATTTAATTGGCATGTTCTTCCTGCTATTCACAATTTAATGAATAACCCTGTTTTTTTTCTTTTTCTTAAGATATAACAGAAATATTGGTTCGCCTTATTCTTCCCTTTTCCTTGCTAGCCTTCTTCGGCTACTAACTCCATTCTTATGATACCTAGATGCCATTTCAAGCTGACTTATAGAAACAGAAAATTGGTCAGACTAAATGGGCCGAATGGTTCTTATTTGCCGTCACTTTCTTTAAGTACTTTCATTAGTCCCTGGTCTTATCTTATAGCTAGGATAGCCTTATGCCTATCCCACGCATGCTTAAACTCCCTCACTATGTTAACCTCTACACTCTATTCCATATAACCACTACCCTCTTTATAAAGTAATACTTCCTGATATTATTTTTAAACCTTTGCCACTCTAATTTAAGACTTTCCTCTTGTTGTGGTAGTTTTAATTATTATTTTCTATTGTAATTATGGTTACTCTTTTGATTTTCCACTAAGTCCTTAATTTGCTCTCCATTTCATCAAAATACAATTTCCTTTCCTTTAATCTTGATTTACAAAACTCTTTCTAACTCTCCTCCTTCCCATGTATTTTCCCTTATAGGTACAACACCTGGTTCTCATTGCCACTGCTTTCCACCTCTTGGCTCATTAAATTCCTACTCTCACAGTTTGCAGGCACTTCCTCAAAACAAAACACAAAAACACAGGTGGAGCAATAAAATATACTTCCCTTTGTCTGGATATATTAATATCCTACTGAAAAAGGGAAGAGAAAAAGGACGCAATAGTGTAGGTGTGCCAAACTAAAACAATATTGGTGAAATGTGAGTACTAAGCACTCATATGTATGTAGCTAGTTTAACCACTTGGCTCTAGTGTATATCACAATAGGATTATAAAATTAATTCTGATCCCTCTTCCAAGGGGTGATTTGCAGCTTGGTAGGTGATAGATAAATAAGAGACTCCATAGCAAAATCCTGTATGATTACTTATAAGAAAATATAAATGCATGCACTCTTATGGTCCTGGATGTAACAGCAACTTTACCATATGGGTAAGTATGAGGAACCATGGTCACTTCCACAGGGCACTTGATAAAATGTATTTATCACTAAAAACCATTAAAATAAACCACAAAAACATGTGATAGATAATGTCCAAAATGCGTTTCGTCTATTGAAGGCTTGGTATGCCTGCTTCCCTCATGGAATGCTATTTATGCCACCCTAATTGATCCTTAATTCGTTTCAGGTCCCCCTTCGGCGTGTCCTGCTGCGCAAACTGCGTTCCTGATTATTTTTAATTCAATCTTATAATTCATCATACAGGATTATGCTATGGAGTCTTTTATTTATCTAGCACCCATCAAGCTGTAAATCACCCCTTAGAAGAGGGATCAGGATTACCTTTATAAATCCTATTGTGATGTACACTAGAGCTAAGTGGATAAACTGGCTCTATCCCTGTGAGTGTTTATGACTTACATTTCACCAATATTGGTTTATTACCATTAAAATTGGGTAATGGTAACAACCCCTGGATGTTGGGCTAAGGTCACATCCCCAAGACGTACTTGAAAACCAAAATAATTTGAATGTACCTTTCCTGGTTAAATACTTTATTATTATTTTGGTACAGCTACACTATTGTGTCCCTTTTCTCTTTCCTTTTTCAAAAGTATAGTAATATATCCAGACATAGGAAAGTATATTTTATTGCACCATCTATTGTGTTTTTGTTGTTACTTTTATGTTGTAAGTTAAAGGACCACTATAGTGCCAGGAAAACATACTCGTAGTGCCACTATAGTGCCATGAGGTTGCCCCTCTGGGTCCCACTCCCGTGGCGCAGAAGGGGGAGAAAAGGGTTAATCCCTTACCTTTTTTCCAGCGCAGGGCTCCCTCGTGAGAAGCACTGAAGCGCCTCTAGCGGCTGTCAATGAGACAGCCACTAGAGGCTGGATTAACCCTAATGTAAACATAGCAGTTTCTCTGCAACTGCTGTTTACAGCAAAAAGGGTTAAACCTAGCTGGACCTGGCATCCAGACCACTCCATTAAGCTGAAGTGGTCTGGGTGCCTATAGTGGTCTTTTAAGGGGGTGTCGCACAGGTGTGTTGAGAATTTAGGGATAATCACTATTAAAATGTATAATCTATATTTCATTCCTCAAAACCGATCTTTTAATGCTGATCTCGGGCGACTTTTCATGTTTTGTAAAGACCCCCGAAAGTGACAGATGTGGTGCATGTCCTATTGCCATGGGGTTTTATAGCAAGACTCTGCATCTACAGACTCCAAATTAGGGCAGTGGTCATGGTGCTTGGTGTAACTCTTTGAAGCTTAAGTAGCTGACTTGGAAACCCAACTGAGTAAGAAAATGTCTCTTTACCTTGAATTTGAATTCTCACGTTAGTGCAGCTCTTGTGGTCTTTGGTATTGATCCGTGATCTCCTGGTACATTCAGACGCTTGAACGTCTGTATGAAAAGTCACCTATCAATAACTAATGCATGACTATTTGGTTATTCCTTCCGCAGTGCTATTTACAGTCAGGTGAGCAGGGAACCTTGTGTTGGCCAAAAAACTAAATAAATTGTATAATATGATCTGGCTGTGTCAACATGTTAGGCTACATAAAATCTGTTCAAGTCTGTGCAAAATCTAAACAGAACAGATTTTTGCCAGCCTTTCCCATAAACAGAAAGTATTAAAATCCTTCATTAATTACTTTGTCTGTCTTTGAAAAATTCACGCTCCATAATTTTCCAATGCTGTGTAAAATCTCCCTACCGTCATGAGATTGTTCATTTAAAGTGTGTTGTAGACTCACTTTGCGCTAAACTGAAACTGGTGTAAGGTTTTATAATTATAAAAAAAGTGCTAGTCTTTAAGCAGATTATCAGAAGCAGAGTATGTCTCGCGACCTTTCAAATATGTTATAACATTTTATGTTTTGTTCAGATACAATGGAGAGGTTGGAGATGTTGTCGTTGGCCGTGTTACAGAGGTACAGTTACTTTCTTTATCACTGTTTGCTGAGTAAATATTAACTACTGAAGTGTCAGTTAAAGAACTATTGCTAGAATGTACTATAGGTTTGTTTTCGTTTTTGTTTCGTTTTTTTTAAAGTTGGTACTTTCCAAATTATGTGCAGTTGTTTTTTGATATTGGTTTTCTCCCACAATTTTTATCTACAATTCAGCTTTCATGTGTTAAGTTTTGTGATTTCATAATTTTTTTTTATTTTTTTTTTAAAGCTGAACATTTTTATTTTGCATGCATATTTATTTTGCCCATTTTGAAATATATGCTATTTTTTAAATATTTTGTCTTTTATCCATGCTGCAAGCGGCAGAACTTATACAGTGCTGGGCCAGGGAGCGTGTGGTTTGCACGTTAATTGCTCCCTCACAGTCCTGCTCTCACTAATGAGCATCGAACTGCGAGGGAGCCATTACTGTGGCTTGCACCTGATGGAGCTGCAAACCACAGGCTCCAACACTAGGGTGTCTGGGCTGCCATGACTCCCACCTGGGCTGTCCTCCTCCTCCTCCTCCTCCTGTCAGATTGGAGGGCGGCATCGGGCTCTGCAGCATCATATCAATCTGCTTGCTGCTGGGCTTCCTGCTCTTCTCTGGGTCCTACTGCTCATGCTCTCACCTTTAAATTAAAAAACAAAAACCAAAGCCCTCATGCTGATAGACAATCTGAGGGAGGACAGAGGGGGAGAAATCTTAAATAGGGGCCCACTATTTCTATTTAAAATTATTTTGTGGGTCAGGACAAGTGGATGGCTTTTCCACTTTATTCCTGTGGACAACTAGATTTTAAAAAAATAATTCCACACCCCTGTCTAAGGGACATTTCTAGCAGCATATTACAGGTTTATTCCAGGCAAAAAAGCAGATTTTTTTTTTTTTTTTTTAGAAAACACTTTTTTGTTTTTGTTTTGTCAGAGTAACCCTTATTAACTTGCTCCCCCCCCACCTTTGAAAATAGTGAGAGAAAAAAAACTAAATCATACTGCAGTTCCAGCCTCAAAATCAAGTTCTCCCAGCTGCCCCCCGATACTCCTCTTGGGACATCACCCCCTTCCTCACTGTGAGGAGCCATGTCACCATTGGATATCTCCAACATGCTGTGTGTGTGGTCAACATGGACGCCAACTATGCACAGAATTAACATTGAATAGTGTGCTCAGAGCGCTTGTTCCAGGCTGTCAAGTGACACCTCCGACGTCAAAGGGGTTAAACTCTGAAACTCTGTACAAAGAGACAAGCGCCATGACCACCTCAAATCAATGCTTTAATTAACACGTTAATTCCACCACCTTTTTTATGTTTTAGTTATACTTTCAAAGAAATCAATTAAAAGTACAAAGAAATATATGCTCTTTTTTTTTTTTTTTTTTTGAAGCTCATTATTTTTCTGCATTGAGCTCTGTTGAGACCAGGAAGTAGCTGAAAAGCTTTTGACTGATCCAGGCTTTCATTAACATTAATGGAAGAACTGAACATATCTCTGCAGGGAGTAATTGAATATTAGCAATTTCATTCTTTATCAAGCATAAATTAAACTGCTCTGATATACATATAGAGGCTCAGCAGCAGCTTATTGGGTATGTAGTTTAGCACTGTAGGCAGCACTGTAATTAAAGCGGCACTGTCATCCTGAACTTACCTTTCCCCCAATCGATTCCTCTTCCCCTCCTCTCTCAGGATCTGTTCTTCATTTCTTCCTGTCTGCTCTAGTTTTCTTTAAAACATAGGACAAAGTAGGGACTACTTTGTCATATGGAGGTTTCCTACACATGACCAGCGGAGGAGCAAAGTGTGCTTCATTTCCTGTGGTCAGAGAAATTTTCTCATAATTCTCACCTTTGATCATCCATGATCTCGCGTTGCTTCCTGTCAGTATTCCCGAACGTCTGATCATTTAGACAGAACGCAGGCGAAGCTACAGAATTTCGTCCTAACAGAATGAGGACAGTTTGTTCTTTCATGTTAAGGTGCATTTTGTAACTTTGTTCGGATCGGAATTTCATTCATATGAATGAAACTCCGATCCTGTTCGTGCCGTGGCTGGATCTTGCAGCTGCCTAGTAGATAACTCCCTAATTACCACGGTATCAGGGAACTATCTACCAAAAGGCTGAAAGACCTAAATTAGTCTTTCAGGCCAAATTTACTAATACTAAGTAAAGATTACTTAGTATTAGTAAATTCTACCCCTACTCGTTATACCGTGAGTAGGGGCATGTCTGGTAAACAGTGAGCAGCCTGTGGGTCCCATTATCAGATGGCATCCTAGGAGGTGAAGTGCCGACCCAGCACCGAGCGACAACCACTTTTTTTATACAAGAGGAAGGGGGGCTGCAAGTGGAGGGGACCAGAGGTCTCTACTGTGTTAGGAATACAGATTTGTATTCCTGACACTATACATTCCCTTTAAAACTAGGAGCAAGACTCTTGCCATAGGCCTTGGGTGGTAAATTAATGGAAAAGCGGGATGAGAGCTTTATTCTACAAATCTAAACCTGCACTGGACAAAGTAAAGATAATAGCACCTAATACTGAATGTCTGAGAAAGCAGGTGTGATGTGCTGTCTGCAAGCGAGTGAGTCTTTATGCTTTTATATTTTGACTGTACAATGAAATTTTAAGGAACACTTCAAGCACCATAACCTCTACAGTGCGCTGTAGTAGTTATGGTGCCCTGGTGCCTCCCCCATTGTCTAACTGTTTTAAAATGGTTAGACTTCTTACCTGGAGTCTACCTGGCTCTGCTCCCTGTCTCCACTACTTCCTGTGGAGAGCTGGAACCTCCTAAGCAGGAACTTCCATTAGCTCCCCTGAGCTAAGCTATGCAGGGCAGGTCAACTGATCGCTCTCAACCAATGATTTAAGTCTTACACTCTCAGTAGGGACAACACCTGGAGTGGTTATGGTGCTTGGAGTGTTTCCTTGAAGTATGTATTGAGGGAGACTTCTTAAACTGCTCTGTGCTAAAATGCGGAAGCCAGCGGAACCAGCAGGCTCATTTAATTGACGCCTCTTACGTATTTTTTCACCACTTTAAATCTACGCTTGTTTGCATGTTTTGAAATGCCTTTTCCCCTCCCCCCGATACCCCCACTCTTTCTAATTCACTGCTCAAAGCATGTGATGCCATCATACTCCCTTGAATTTCTTTTCCAGGTGCAGCAGAGGAGATGGAAAGTGGATACAAACTCCAGACTGGACTCCGTATTGCTCCTTTCAGCTGTAAACCTTCCCGGAGGGGAATTGGTGAGTGAACAGAGCGAAGTTTCTCATCTCAAAGTTTTAGGGTTTTCAATTCAAACTACAATTCTCTTAAACCTTTTCCATACTTGTTATTTGGTTTCCAGAGGATTACAGAAGTTGTAGCTTGCCATTGAATGTCTAGGTATTTGGGCAGCCCTGTTGTAGGAGGTTAGGAGTGCTTGGGCATTATTTTCTGCTGACCAGTCTCAATCTGTCGATCAAATCTGTCTATCTATATCCTTGATGTTTGTGCTTTGTGTATGTACTATTTATCCATGCGATAATGATTTTGTTAGAGCCGTAGCCCTATGGCCACATGATGGGACCTGTTTCGACCTCAAGGAGTGTGAGTTTGTGGGTATATTTTATTTAGCAGCCGAGTGAATGGATAATCGCTATTTGGAACCCTCTGTACTTCTGAATGCCTGGTGCTGTTTGTGCCTAACATTGCAAGTTAGTGTTTCGATCACGCTCCTTCTCCTGATTTCTAAGAGCATGTGAGTGATTAGTGCTTCCATAACCCTTCTAGTTTGTGCTTCGTCTCCCATTATAACGACTAAAGGGCTTACCACACTTACTGTTTTATTGAGCTTATCAGCCCCTGTGTAGAAAATAGTAATTGGTATGGCAGGCTGTAATCCTTGTTAGCCATAGTAATGGTGTAGGCAACGTTATCTGAACAGACTATCAGGGCCACGAGATCACTAGGCAGCACTGAAAATCCTAAACCGCCACAAACCTTCCACTGCTCGTGGGCTGCAGGGTAAGATTTAATTTGTCCCATGACCATCACATTCCCTAATATGTCAGAATGTAAGGTTGTACTTGAACACAGGTAAGGAACTGCATCACCAGGCCGCAAATTAATCACCAGGCCGCAAATGAAGGTCACGTGTCCAGACTTGAACAGGTAGGTAAAATCCAAGCTTGATTCCATCCAATTTTAATCACACAAGGTCATCACAGCAAATAGTGCACAAGGAAGACCCCTAAGGGTTTTGTCTCAGAAAGGCACTTTCTCAGATGCTGAACAAGAGCATTTTTGGCACAACAGGCATAAGGGATGTTGTGATGTCCTCGTGTTGTTTATGTTTGATGAATTAAAGCTTGGATTTGACCTAACTGTTCATGTCTACACGAGTGTCCTCAATTTGGAAACTTCCCATTAAAAGTCCTTTTGTTTTCATTGGGCGGAGAACCCACCTACCGGACCTGGAAAGTAAGAACATATGGACTTTTATTTGCTACAATTAGTTTTGACTTCCGGACTAAGGCTATGCTTGATCACAGTAATAACTATGATCTCCATCAATTGGAGATTGTGGATAAGCGTTATTGCTGGGAGTCAGCCCCTGAAAGGCTCAACGCAAGAAATCTTCAGGGCCATGCAAAGTCAACATCAAGTTCTCCAACTCCTGTGATGTCTGAGCATTGTAGGTATAGTAGTTTAGTACCTCCTGAAAGCCTGACGTTGCCTGCCCGCTCCTTGAACTTTTGCCAATAAGGTTAATGTACCTGTATCCCCCTGTGCCAATTTAACATCAAGCTGTAATTAGATCATCTTCCTTTATCTGCCACAAAGTAACCAGAGGCACGTTTTGCACAGCACAAGTGGTTCTCCAGGGAGTCTCTTGGCAAGGGCCGTCTCTCCGCTTCATTATAGGGCAGATTGCTGTTACGTGCCTCTTTTTCTCTTTCAGAGACGGAGGTCAGCAGAGGACGAGTTGGCAATGAGGAGTTACCTGCAGGAAGGAGACTTGATCAGCGTATCCTTTGATACAGCAGGACAGCTGGCACAGTCTCATAGGCTTTGTCGTGCCAAGCAGCTGATGTCTGCTTTGTGGCACATGTGCTAGTGCAACATATTTCTACACGGATGAGAAAATGTTACTGCAGGGGTTGAATAGTTGGAGATCGGACACACAAATCCACTTCGGCAACAACGCCAATTTAAATATCACTTTCGTTTGAGGGGGGTTATTTTCTGAATAAGAAATTGTGTGAAACTGGCAATGGAATTTTAGCCTAAAATAGTCAAATTGGAAAAAAGAAGCTCAAATGTAGTTTTACTTATTTATGATAGGAATTGTGATTTTTCTTACATAGACCTACACGAACAAAGTATTTGCTACTTTTTCGTTTGTATGTCTTTTGATTGAGCTGCAGTTTTATTGAAATTCCGATGCAACTTTAAGATGGATTTTAATTTGGTACAAACATATTCTGTCTAAAATAATCTGAGCTGTCACCACCGGTTAGTCTGGTAGAGCTGTCTTCTCCCTACTTATCGTACTCTTTCATAGTAACCAAATCCCTTAATAGTCTGTTGATTTAGGCTCAGTGATGGAAATTAGTTTTGCAATTTTCTTCAAATTAACAGTTTGGAGATCAAATATGACTGGCAATAGAATTTAACTTTACATCATAATATTCTCTTATTTTTTATAAAAATAAATTAAATTGAAGCCATGACTGCCAAGATGTAATCTGTACTTACTAAGGAATCTTATCATTTATTCATTACCACTGACATTTTCAATATGACATTTTATTTTATCCTAATAGCTAAGAAGAAGGGCTTAGCTCCTGCCTGAAAAGCCACTGGCATAGTCACCCAGTTTTATCTCTTTTTTTACAAATGAGTGAAATCCACCACCCACCCACCCCAAAAAATAAATAAAATTGAAGTAATTAGCCTGAAGAATAGCTGCATAACACGTATTTGCCTCTCAATTAACAGGAAAAAAATAAATGAACATCAGGATTGGCATGCAGCATCAATAGGGAAAAATGGTGTAAAATGGTTTGCTGCATTATGTGGGGAAGGTGTCAGGCTACTCCTATCAGACGGTAGTGGTTTTCATAGTTTGAGTAAGCCTTGAATGAAAAGATATGGGTAAAACCTATAGAAATGTGCATTCATTTCAATGCATTTCTAAAGTTGACGTCCCAATTGAGCATCTGTTGCAGAAAAGAAAACGGGGGTTACACGTCATAGGTTGTTGTGGCAAGACATGTGTTGAGCTTAATATACAGAGTAAGACACCAAGTAACAGTGGTGTATTCTATCTTTGCGTACATCAAATTTGTTCTGTCTAATATCCACGCGTAGCTACTATGATTCTTATGTGTCACATTCTCAGCTTGAATCTGGTCTATTTAATAAGGTTAATTAGTCTAAATATAGGAACTCTAGCATATCCATGTGTTCTGCATGTATATGGCTTGTTTAGGGTATTGCTTAATTCTGGATTTATTGGTGAACGATCCCTAGATCACTGAGCCACTTGCAGTGTTTATGTATCAGCCAGTTTGTTCAGCTATGGTCGTCTTCCCGGTCTAGATACTGTTTGCTATACTGTGTCCTGGTTTTAGGGTGTCCTCAAACACTTGGAAGACAATATATGGGTCACTGATAAAAGGGTCACTAACAGGTGTCTCGAGGTCTGCAAGATGGGGCTCGTCGGCCAGGTAGGCCATTTGGTCACTGCTCGGTTAATCGAAGTTGCCTATCTTAGTGGGATGTCGGTTTTACATGGTGCCCCTTGTCTGCCTCCAGCTTGCATATCCGCCTTTAGATTCCCCACATTTTCGCTCTCGAAGGGGGTGGAAGCTTCTGTATTATAAAAAGGTGGCAGTTGTTTCAGAGTGCATTTGGGGCTTCAGGTAGGGATGATTTTGTCTATGCCAGCCTTACATCATGTGTTGGGGGTGGGGGGGCGGGAATCTTATTCAATCCTATATTCTGCATCCTCTGCTGCTGTATTGTTGCCATTATTATATAGGATGAGGTAGGGAGGGGAGGGTAGGGGTAAGAAGGTGATTAAAGGGGGAGAGGGGGGTCAGAGAAGCTAGGTCCTTCTTCACGGATCTTATGTTCTACACTTTCAATAAGGAGCGACTAAAGAAGGTGGGGGGGCAGTGGTCTGTCTCGTCAATCGTTACTATCCCATTGTAGCCAGGGATCCCGTGTTTTTTCAAATTTCTTCAGTGTTCCCCTAGCGATAGCTGTCAATTTGTCCATGAGGCATGTTTCGTGTGTCTTCTGTGTCACCGCAGCTACGGATGGTATGTCTGGTTTGAGCCAGTTTTGTGCCAATGTTAGTCAGGTCGCTAGTGTGAGTTTGTGTAGTAGTCTTTGGTCTGGTTTGGTCCAGTCATCTATGGGCCGGGACAGGATGAATGTCCATAGGTCTACCTCTATGTTTCGTCAGAAAACCTTTGCTATTAGGGCTCCTACCTGTCTCCAGAAGGTTCCTACTACTGGGCATTCCCACCACATATGGATAAATGTCCCTTTTATCCCGCACAACCTCCAGCAGAGGTCGCTTGGGGTGTTGCCCATGCGGTGCAGTTGTAGTAGTGGTGTCACATATCCAACGGAACATCATCTTGTAAGATTGTTCTTGGAGGGTGGTGCATATTGATACTGCTGTGTTGGCTTCCCATATCGCTTGCCAGTCTGCGCCCTCTAGTGTCTCCCCCGAGTCCGCTTCCCATTTTTCTGTGTATGTCAGTGCGCCCCATTCGGTTGTAGTGGAGGTTAGGTGAGAGTATAGTGAGGTTATCATGCTCTGGGGTGGTCGCTTCTTTAAGGCAAACGCGTTCAAATCCTGTCATATGTTGGGCTGGTATTTCTTGCATGTGTGGTTTGCTCTTGCATGTTAGGTATCGGAAGAAATCTCCCGGTTTGAGTATTCAGGGATTTTTTTTAAATTTTTTTTTAACCTTAAAGCCTTCTTATTATCCTCTGGTTCCAATTGTACATCTGTCTAAAAAGACAACTATAGCCACAGTGAATGTAGTTCATCTCCAAGATCCAATGGACACAAAGCTGAAACCTCTTGTAGTCAAAGTTTTTTGTTTTTTTTTTCTTTTCCCCAGAGCCTTTTCTTTAGGACTAGACTTGACTCCCAGAATTTTTACAAAGATATTGGTGATTCTGGCAGCCCACGTGAGTGGAGCCATTGCAATAATTCCATATGTGGACAAATGGCTGTTGAGAGCCTGACCTGTAAATGAGCTAGAGGAAAACAGAGCTGGACAATATAATTTTCAACAACCTCTACAGGGCAAATTGATGACATTAAGACCGGAAGTTCACAAATGCTAATTTCAGAAAACTGATTCAGGTTGGGAAATTTAAAAAAAATAGATCTGTTAACATTCCTTGGGACCTCTTTCTCTGAAATATTTCTCTCAAGGGCAATCATCCCAAGAGTCACGCAGAAAATCAGAACGGAGCAGGAAGCTAAGAAAAAGTTCTGCTTTTGGAGAACATTTAGGAGAATGAGGGAGTTTCAACACTTGCTCTGGAAACCTTCAACCTGTCAGTATGGGTGTTGCAAGGGTAATTCGGCAGGATGAACACCATGAAGACAAAACGATCAATATCCTACAATCTAGCAGGGATTCCACTTTCAGAGAATTTAGAATACATGTATTTTGTGATGCTGCTTGGAAATTGACCCCAATCTCCACGATTGTAGCTCAAATTCAGATAGCGTTTTGTTGTTTTTTTGAGTGTTTTTTTATTTTTTACAGCTGGGATTTAAAGGGGACAAAGACTATCTACATTGGCATTTCAAGTACATACTGATATATATACGTATAGCAATAGACCACCCAAGTGCAGCAATATAGAATAAATTAAGAAAGGTAATTAGCTTTCCTAACATTCTAGAGTGTAACAAAGGTTCCTCAAATCCTCACAAATAGCCAAAAAATACAAGTTACACCTAGAAAAAATAAAAGCAGAGAACATACATAGTGTAACACCATAAGATGAAGTAATCACTGCTTGATGAATTGCACTCACAAGATGGAAGTAAATTTCAAGCCCATCAAATTCTCTTAGGGGTTCTGGATAAATGGTTCCTTATGGATCAGATGTATATGCAAAAGAAAAAATGGACATAGTATAGGACTGTATAATATAGTAAAAAATGATTTATTGGAAACACTTACAAAAAGTAAGAAGTTAAAACGCCCATCAGATAACCTGGTCGCTCCTTCTAGTTGGTAAATTAGGAACAGTAGATCACAGGAATCACAGGCAATAAAAATAATAATAATAATAAACCTACTGAGTAATTTCTTATTAAGGATTTTCTTTCTGTTTTATTCAAAGAATTTTCAGAGCTATAAACCACAATTAGGGATTCTAGTGTAAATGACTAATCTAAATTTTATTAAACACAGGAGGTGAATATTTGCTGTACTTTCTTTACTCACCCATTTCTTTGCTGCTGGAAGGTTTAACAGTGTAAAGTAAAAATTCCAGCAATCACAGTAAAGGTGTCTGTAACAAAGGGTAATGAAGCTCCTCCCACTTCCTCTTTCTTATGATGCAGCCGCACCAATCGGAGACAGTGAAGTAACGATAAACTGTGTCTTCAACCATGTAAACCAGGAAGGAAGATCAGCTGGATTCGAATGGCATCCAGAGGGGTCAAACAGAATGTTCATCCTAGAAGGAAGAAGAAAATCGTGAAAGTATTGTATCTAAGCACTGTGGCAAGCATATCATCAACAGAAAATTCAAGGTATTACATAAGCACCAGTTAACATCTGCAACATTAGCTACCGGGTATGCGCAGCACAACTGAAAGACTAAGCTGAACAGAATACAAGGCATCTGATGCAGGAAATCCAAACCCACCTGCAATATTAGTCAACACCCAGTAAAAAGGGAGGGAACAGAGGGTGGGAAAATATTTGCCTCCTGTCTTTAATAAAATTTAGCTTATTCGGTCATTAACACTAGAATAATCCCTAATTTTATGGCAAGGCAGGAGCAATATAATTGGAGTAGACTCACCTGGGAGGTAAGCAGCAAAGAAGGAGGAAGTGGGAGGAGCTTCATTAACCTTTGTTACAGACACCTTTACTGTGATTGGTTGAATTTTTACACTGTTAACCCTTTCTTTGCTGCTGGGAGGTTTGAGTAAAGAAAGTAATGCAAATATGAAACCCTCCTGTCTTGCCATAAAATTTAAAGCCATCAACATTGACTTCAAAAACTGTCATTTTAAAACATTTTTCTACTTGTGGTATTGTCATCCACAAAAAAAAATAAAAAAATTTGGGGAGCCTTGGTGTGACAGGTGTCTTTCAGCTTCTACCCTATGTATGAGTTACCTTGACAACAAAGTGGTCCTTTGTCTAAAACCTTAAAACCTTGGGGGTTTTTTTGTTTTGTTTTTTATTGTTCTCTGGTGCTAAATCCTTCTGACATTTTGCAAGAATCCATAATCGGCTAAAGAAACACAACTGAATTCACAGGTTTATTAAGAGTTCTTGCCATCTATCTGGATAGGACATCAAGCTTCAGAAAGTCAGGACATCTTTTCTTCAGTCTTTCATATCAATTAGTGGTTAAGTGGCAGGAAAACAAGAACTGATACTTTTTCTTTCTTTATATAAGCAGTTGTAGAAACTGTTTCCCTATAAAGAAAATAGATTTTTTTTTTTCTGGAGTTTAAGTGGGTCTGTTTTCTTGGGAATGCTAATTTTGCTCAGACAGTACAAAATTTTTAGATGGTTTAATAGCTATATAATCATTATAATCCCCTGTCCAGCAGCTCCCCTTTGTCTGAAATCATCTGGACAGATGATCTCGGCCAATCAAAAGCTTCTCTATTCAGGGCCTTTTTGTACATGCGTCAGAAGGTGTTTTTGGCATAGGGAAGCATTACTACGCTTTTATATGGGAAGACTTACCCGCATTCAATGAATGTGAACTTCATTTTCTTACTGTCTTCATTGTCAGCCACTAAAGACACACTGAATGACAATTGTAAATATTGCTATTTGTCACGGTACAATGACAATATCTTGGTACTATTACCACTACATTAAAGGATTACAATAGCCACCAAAACAACTCTGATGAAGACTGTTTGACAGCTGCTAACTGCTATACTGTACCTTTAACTGCTCACTGAGTGTTTGCATTTACCATGGGAAAACTTACAACAATTCTTTGGTGTAGTTTAGGCTGTTCAGAACACAAAAGGAATGCTCATTTTCTGTTTATACTTCGACCTGCTTATTGGTAAAGCATTGAAAACATTAAAAAAAATATATATCCCTTGGCTTTTCATAGCAGCTCTCAGTGATTTGAGCAACAAATCTATAAAACATCACTGCTGTAAAATCGCTAATGATCAGTGAGGTCTTTTTAACACTTATGCGCTAGAACTGGGTATCTATAATAATGATTTCTGACTGGCACTGCAGGAGTATGAACTACGTATCCCATGATTCTCAACCAGTCTCACTCCCTTAAGGGCACTGTTAATTTGTTTTTAATTTCTTGCTGTGTGTTAAGAATTGTTAACTCTGCAGCATTTGATGGCTTGTGTCATCAAATTGTGAGTACATTGTCGAACGGCAAAGCAGAATCTTTGGTTACAGTTAAGTGTGCAATAACCCAGTGAATTTCACATGGGACTTTTAAACATTTTCATGCATCTAGAAAACCACCATTCTCTGGAATATAAGAATATTATAGTTATTGCTGTTTTTCACTACCTCCCCAATGCAAACCATATAGAAAATCATAAAATATATAAATAATGGGTGCAGTAGTCCCAATGGTCTCGGGGTCACTCAGGGCTGTAACCCCTAAGTTGGATAAATGGCTTCACTAGATTCCAGGTGGGAAATCCGAGGTCTCTGACCAGAAAAGTGCAGATCTAGGATCACCTGCGACACTGCACAGAACCCTCAGACGCCCAGGCCACTGGTTAACTCTATGTAATGGTAGAGTGGTAGATGGTAAGCTTGTTTGAGCAGGGCCTTCAAATATAGTGCTGATTAATATATTGGCACTAAACAAATGCTAATAATGATAATCTACCAATAGAGTATGTCTCCTTGTCAGAACAAATCAAAACATATACAGGTTAACAGACTTTGGCCCTAACCTGCAGATAACCAAAAACTACCAGATTTCACGGTCCCTGAATTCAGTGTGTGCAAAATTTCCTCAGACGGCTTTGGTGTTATATGTAAACTTTATTGAATATGAGATCTATACTTAAAGGGAAACTTTAGACACCTGAAGCTGTTCACCTTGCTGATGTGCTTTGTGTGAAGTTTTTTTTTTTTTCATTCATTTTTCTTTTTGCAAAAAGTGCAGAAATTAGCCTTGTTACATCCCCTGGCTGTCAATCAGACAACTGGTCCTGTTACTTCCTGGTGGTTTGGTTAGCTCAGTGGAGCTAAACTGAAGCGGTATCTTGCAAAGACTTCTCATTGAGCTGTATTGGGAAGTCTGTGATTGGATAGCAACAGAAATTCTGGGTGGGTTTAGAAGGGGAAGGCCTTGCAGATTTTGCATGCTGTTTTTATATATCTCAGTGAAAATAAAATGAACTTCTCTCTTTCATCCCAGTGAACACTATTTCAAAGGTGAGTAATGCAGCTGAGGTAAGAAAAATAAATAAATCCCACTTACCTTCACCCTATCACCCCATGATGCGCCAGACGCTCCTAATTTCTATTGCTTTTATATTGGTCTCAATATATGAAACTCTTCCGAACTCTTAGATTCTTGCTGGACCTTAATAATGTCTAGTTTGGAAACCATATGAAAAATAAAAATGTGTCCATCATGAGCAAATTGAATTTTTTGAGATCATTGTTAAATTGGATTGGGTTGGAAGGCTTTATCCTTAACTCACAGACACAGGCAGAGGTTCAGGCTGTATACTCTGATGGAGCTCTCTCAATGCACACACGAAGTCTCAAGTATGGCAAGGTAAAAATTACATCTGTACTTCTGTGACTTTAGCTTATATTTATCTATGTTAATATTTAAAGATTGTTCCAATGTTAGAAATACGTGTTCCTTTTCTATTTCAGATTTAGGGCCCCTCCCACTGCAATCTCCAAAAGTAGGTTAATCCATGTTCTTGCTGCACCTATGCTCTGCCCCTGGGTGATCATTACTAGTGATGTTTTCCCAGCCATTGCATTGCTCAAAGAGGGGCGGTGGGACACCGTGTGCATGCACAGCAATGCTTCTTAAAGAGAAACATTGGAACAAATACATCTCTATGAGAAGTGCTCAATGTCTGGTATGCAGCCGAAAGGTGTTACCAAAGGGATTTATGAAAATGATGTTTTCTCTTGAAATCGGCACATATATAAAATAAGACAAGGCTAGGCTTTTTTCATCACAATTTTCTCCTAAATTTGCAACTCAACATATCTTGAACAAACCTTAATGCATTATAACCAATTTCATATCAAAATAAAGAATCCAGTTTACCGTGGGAGTGATACCGTGGCAACTACCAACTTTCATGGAAGAAAAAAAGCTCTGTGCGAGGAAATTGCCCTTATCAATAAAAAAAAAACTCTCTACATAAACAAAGCCGCTATCACACTTACGTGAGTTCCTCTCCAACAGCACACAGAGTAAGGTTAATGGAGATAAATGTAAAAAGTTAAATGTACGAAGTGGTGATGCTACCACCAGGGCATACAGTGGAGCGCCATATAGTGTACATAGGATGTAACACACTTACCCTTATGCAATAAGGGATATCATGCATAAAGTAGTATATCATAAAGACGTCTAAGGTGCTGGATCCTCCTGAGACGCTTTTCACAGCTATCTGTGGTTTTCTCATTCAGTTGTATCTACCTCGTGGGTTTGGGTGGTTTTAGACCCTCCTAACATGATCCCATTGGTCCATTCTGCTGCTTGTTATCCTATCGTGGACGTCCTATCATGTGGGAGTGTGTCATCAGCTGATTAAATTATTCAATTGCCGTAATTGTTGAGGTTTGGATCCGACCGCATCATTCCTCTGTCTGCTCCATTTTACTTATGGGCAGAAGTCCTGGAAACTACATGGGTGTTTGAGATGAACGGAAGCGACGTGACGAGTCCAGCGTCACATCACGTACGGTGTCGTGGTCATAATACAAAGCGCGCATTATCATGAAAGGCAATGTAATTACCCAGTGCAAGGGTATGAAGGGAAAAAGGAGAAAGCAAATATCAATAAAGCAAATATATAAACGGACCTACAAGGTTATAAAAGACTAATATGTTTGATTAGAACTTGGATGGGCACTATTAAGGCTTATCTAGCATTAACAGGTATATAAAATATTGAATAAATGGAGCCGATAGATGAATGATGCGGTGGGATGCACACCTCAACAATTACGGCAATTGAAGAATGAAATCAGCTGATGACACACTCCCACATGATCGAACGTCCACGATAGGATAACAAGCGGCAGAATAGACCAAATGGAATCATGTTTGGAGTGCTTCAAACCACCCAAACCCATGAGGTAGATGCAACTGATTGAGAAAGCCACAGATAAGGGCAAAACGCGTCTCAGGAGGATCCAGCACCTTAGACTTCTTTATGATATACTACTTTTATTGTTTTTTTTTTAAAATATACTTTATGTATTAATACATATCTACTTATTTGCCAACATTGTTTGGTGCCATCTTTAGAATCTACCTCTACTGCAAAGAAAGGGTAGTTTCCCCTTTTAAGAGACACCAGGTTGTTTTACTTGGAGCCAAGTTTTTAGGGCTCCTTAAGAAGGTGAGCAGGTCATTGATAGATTTGTGCACGAAGTCACTTTATATTTTGATGCACGTCAGAAGCTGTGGCTTCCCTGTGTTTTATTGTCTCCCCTCTTGAGTGTGTTCAACACAAAAAAAACAGAAGAGGGTCAGTTTCACCATAGTACACAATTGCCAGAGTGATTTGAGCCTATCCCGTTTGGCTCTACATTTGTGAGTGAATCACTAATTATCTTGTAACACCTACTAGATAAGACTTTATTGCACCATAGTGTGTTTTCCTTTTATATTACAGTTCTTATCGTACATGATATCCCTTATTGCATAAGGGTAAGTGTGTTACGTTCTATGCACACTAGATAGCGCTCCACTGTAGTATCATCAATTAGTACATTTATCTCCATTTACCAACTTTCATGGACTGGTTTGTACCATTAGACTGATCGTCTGTAAGTGATCGCAAATGATTGTGACTTAACCCCGGAATTATTCTTTCATGAATTGTCCTTCCCTTAAGGACCAAACTTCTGGAATAAAAGGGAATCATGACATGTCACACATGTCCTGTGTCCTTAAGGGGTTAAGGACCCATGACTGAATAATTCCGGCATACCCTGGAGTCTCTTCTTTAACAAATGTTGGCCTTGAAAGGGGAATTGCGAATGAGTGGGGCACCTAGAACACCATGCCAACATGTCCTCAGGCCAACAATCTATCACATCATTTGCTTCTCAGATTTGCCTAATTGTAATTTGGATGCATTTGAAGTCTGACATATGACACACACATTATTTGTTTGTTTTTTTTAAAGCTTGGGCAAGGTGTCCTTGTTCAGGTATCTCCTTCATTGATAAAAAGACGGAAAACTCACTTCCACAATCTGCCCTGTGGAGCGTCAATCATTCTTGGGAACAACGGCTTTATATGGCTCTACCCTACTCCTGAGCAGACAGAAGATGAAGCAGGGGGGTTTGTCACCAATCTGGAGGTAAGTCTCTCAGACTTATAGTGACCCTGGCATAAGAATTATCATTCTGCTCTTTGCATCACAAACTGTTTACAGAATTCCCTCTAAGCTGTATTAGCAGCAGTGATTTCCTCAACTGAATTTCCAATTTTATTTTTTTTTAACAATTTAACTCTGCAGTTTGCATTGAATATATATAGTTCCTTTGCAAACAGCACAATATAGTTAATGTGAAGATTCTTACTTTTACTGTTTTAGTGCTGAACTGCCCACTTCTGTTTTATTTAATCAGATTCTCCAGAAAAGGCTAATAAAATGGCTGCCATTTTGTAAAGATTTCTGTACATGTGCCTGCTCCTAAATTCAGTATTATTCTTTGCACTCCGGCAACTTGTCAAGCTGTGCATGTATGTACATTTCTCCCATTATCCTATGTACAATAAGCTGTAGCCATTGGGTTCAAAGCTAAATCTCTCCATTTAGATGCTTCCAGTGCGACCTATCCAACTAAACAGCGTTTGTCTAATTTTTACAATGTTTCAACAAAAACAGAAAATATGTTCTGTCTGCAAGAGAGATACAGCAATCCTGGACAATCGTTTTGGCCTTCTTTGGGACTCATCAGCGAGGTGTAGCTCTTACTCCTCTAGGAACAGTGTCCACGACTGGATTACCCTTTTGAACTTGGGGAGAGCCAAGCTAATGCATTGCAACAAAAAGGGAAAACTACTGAGTTCCTCTAAGCTTTTGTTCTCATATTTTCTAATTTTTACAGTGACATCTATAATTATTCTAAACTTGCATACCAGCAAACTGAAAGGAACTTTCTTTGTATAGATAAAGTATTGTTTCATCAGTTACAGCCCATATTGGCCAGTTGTATCAAGAACACCATCACATAGTCTTCTGTATTTAAGAAAGTAAATGCAAGTAAATATTCCAATGATATTTGTAATTAAATGACTGTATCACGTTCACAGCCAATCTCCTTAACTGATCGAGAAGTGATTTCGCGGCTACGGAACTGCATTCTTGCCTTGGCTGCCCAGCAGATGTTGTTGTACGATACCAGCATCCTCTACTGCTATGAAGCTTCCATGACGCACATGGTATGTTTCCAGTCCAGTGCTCGCAATTTTTTTGTCCCTGTACCTGTAGATTTCAAAAACGCATGGGACGTACTGAGAGCTACCTCAAGGGACAAAATAGCTTTCAGATTTCTTATATATATATGGTTTTACATCTACCTTCATAGTATGTGGAGTTTATTTACTAAACTCCTAATTGTACCTGTTTGAAGTCCGAATAGCAAAAAATAAGCTAAAGTAGCTGAGCTATAGAGAAACTGAGGATCATTATCATTTTTTTTTATTGCTCTCCTATCTGTATTCAAGTTGGTTACAATTCTAAGTTTAGTGAATGAACCCCTATATTTGTGTGTTGCACATTCTTTCTGCTGCATCAATTATGTCTTCTTAATCCTGGAGGAAGTTCAGTGTTTTCTGCACCACCACCCACAAGAAATCAAACTTTAAATGACATGTAAATTTAAACAGATATAGCAGGGTATTGGGAGTTCTACAACATTTGATGATCTATCTGTTGGGCACCACTGATTTAGAGCATATAATAGTTTTTATTAAAGAGGCTGTGAGATGTGTATCAGGACTCCCATTTCTTACCTGGTAATAGTGTTGATCTATTAAAGGATCAATATAGGGTCAGGAACACAAACATTTATTCCTGACCCTATAGTGTTAAAACCACCATCTAGCCCCCCTGGGCACCTCATGCCTCCATAAATATAGCAAAATCTTACTGTATTCAAGCCTCAAGCCTGAAGCTGTAACTCTGCATGCTGTTTGCCTCAAAAAAACAAGCAGTCTGCTGACATCATCAGAAGTGGTGGCCTGATCCAATCACAGTGCTTCCCCAGAGGATTGGCTGAGACTGACAATGAGGCAGATCAGGGGCAGAGTAAGCATGATTCGAACACAGCCCTGGCCAATCAGCATCTCCTCTATGCGGAACTTTTTAAGCTGCTCCATACATCAACAGATAACATAGAGGCTGCATGCAGAGGGAGGAGATACTGAATGTTTGGATGCATTTTAGGCAGCCATGACCCAGGAAGGATCTCTAACAGCAATCTGAGGAGTGGCCAGTGAAGTTATTACTAGGCTGTAATGTAAACACTGCATTTTCTCTGAAAAGACATTGTTTACAGCAAATGCCTGAAGGTAATGATTCTACTCACCAGAACAAATTCAATAAGCTGTAGTTGTTCTGGTGACTATAGTGTCCCTTTAATTGTGCTATTTGAACATCTAGAGAATGCATAGATTAGCAGATGATTTTAAAAGGGAAGATTTTTTTCTTTGGCTTTATGTTTGATTCTATACGTTAGCTGCATGCAGGTGCACTACTAAGAATTCTATATAACCCGCCGAAGGAGGTTCTATATGGTAAAACTGGTCAGCTAGAGCAAAGTATAGACAAAAATATTTTTAAATTAAATCTGGGCTCCTGTTAATGTATGCAGAGTTCCCTTAAAGGACCACTTTAGTGCCCTGAGGGTGCCCCCACCCTCAGGGACCCCCTCCCACCTCTTTCTCCAGCGCCGGGCGGGGAGCTCTCCTCCTCCTCTTCTCCTCCTCTTCGGCTGAATGCGCATGCCACTGGAGGCTGGATTAACCCATTTATAAACATAGCAGTTTCTCTGAAGTGGTCTGGGTGCCTATAGTGGTCCCTTAAGGTGCAATAAGAGGAAAAAAAAAACACCCCAAAACATATGGATAAAGTAAAATATGGCTTTTTACTTCTCTGTCTCTGTACAATTTCAGATGTAGGCTGCTGTAGACAAACTTAATACTACAAAGGTTTATCGTGAATTTGCATTTAATGCTGTGGTCACAATACACAGTGGTTTCTCCAGGGGTGTGGAAATTAAAAAAAAAAAAAAAAACCCACATATGTCCAAGGGTACCCTAATCTGCTTGTCCTGACACAAGGGTTTGGAGAACCTGCTTAGAGCATGGTTATTCTCTAAACTTGGAATGTTCTCAGATTAGGACTGAAAGAAAAAAACTGAGGGCAAAATAGCTGATCTGTTAGAATTCTCTAACTCTGACAGTCACAACATGCTATTTTTTCCATTAAGATTTCATAAAATAGCCTGTTCTGACTATAGCGGAGTTGGAGCATTTTTACAAATCAGCTATAGTTCTTGCGTTTAGATTTCATCTTGGAAAAATTTTGAGTTTAGTGTCTCACCCACTGTCCTCCCCCATGGGCTGGCTGTATGCAATGTATGTTTTGTGTGTCTGTGATGTAGGCTCTATTTTCTGTGTGTGTGCTGGCTGTATGTTTGTGTGTGTGCTGGCTGTATGTTTGTGTGTGTGTTACATATCTTACTTTTGCCAAAGGCAAATATTTTCTAAACTTTATTGGGGTCCAATACATAGAGCACATGCCTCCGACCGCGACTTCTGAAATTGCTCCTCGCATTTCCAATAATCACTGAGTCAGAGTACATGAGTCAGTCAGATTGTGCCTGAACCACTAGAACAGTCATGGCCCAAACCCTGTCCTCTCAATAGCAACACAATAAACTGCCTGCCCTGCACCCTGAACTGCATGTCCCGGGCGTCAGGCGATACAAACTCCACATCCTTCCTCCCTATGATGCGACTGTATACAAATTTGCTTTTGTAGATGTTTACCAGTGATAAACTTACCAGTAGCATCTATTCATATCCTTTAATTTACAGATCAAAGACATACTGAAGATTGAGGTTATGGAAGATATAGTGCTGGAGACCAGGCAACGTCTTGTAGAACAGGAAAGCTAAATCTCGGTTCTCTGTTCCTTACCTAATTCCATGCAAGACCCATTAGGCCAAGTGAAGAATTACCTTCAGATCGAAGATATACATTTCTGGTGCAGAAATTTTCACTTGCTTTTCTGTGTAACAATTCAACTGTTCCATTTTTGTTGTTGTGTTCATGTAAAATCTTCTTTGTTTTTGTAGCTTCATTGAAATATTAAAGTATTTTATTCTTCATAAGTGACAGTAGTCAAAATCCACCGAATGTGACCCATTGTACCATCTTGTAAGCAACCTTACTCTGTTTTTTCCCCAGCTTTTCCCAGTTTAAAAACCAAAACTGATTTATGCATTTATTGCATATGTAGTCTCCTGCTACATTTTTCACCACAGTGACGCAGAGTAGGTTTCGCTCACTAGATGGCTTTTGGGGTGAACTGTATCACCAAAAAAACAAGTGTATGTTATTCTACAGAGCATCAGACCTTTCTAATTGTATGCTAATTATTTCCTGGATAAATTCTGGCTTTTAGCATATTTTTAATTATAAATTCCAATTTCCAATATGGTAGTTTCTGGTATAGGTTCCTAATCCAGCTCTAATTCACACCAGTTGTTTATGATTTAAAGGACCACTGTAGGCACCCAGACCACTTCAGCTTAATGAAGTGGTCTGGGTGCCTGGTCCAGCTAGGGTTAACCCTGTTTTTATGGGTTTTTTTTTTTTAATAAACCTAGCAGTTTCAGAGAAACTGCTATGTTTATAATATAATTAATCGAGCCTCTAGTGGCTGTCTCATTGACAGCCGCTAGAGGCGCTTGCGTGCTTCTCATTGTGAAAATCACAGTGAGAAGACGCCAGCGTCCATTGTAAATGCTTTCCTATGAACTGGCTGTGCGTGCGGCTCCTGCCACGCATGCTCATTCAGCCGATGACGTCGCTATGAAGGAGTAGATGAGGAGGAGAGCTCCCCGCCCGGCGCTGGAGAAATGTAAGATTTTAACCCCTTCCTCTCCCCAGAGCCCATCAGGAGAGGGACCCTGAGGGTGGGGGCACCCTCAGGGCACTATAGTGCCAGGAAAACGAGTGTTTTCCTGGCACTATACTGGTCCTTTAATTGTTTCCCAGTTCTAGCTCTACAGAATGGTTACAGATCTATCTATGGATTTATATAGTGGATAATGCAAGTTTTGACTCTGTGCCATCTCTGAGAGCTTTAGTAATTGCTAGAATAGAGCCAAGCAACGGACCAAGGACAAAGCTACAACAAGCTCGACCACCATGGATTGCACTCCTGGATTCCTCCTTCACTCTGAAAAATGTGTAAGGGTTAAAGGGACACTACACTGCCCAAATACAAAATACATTTTAAAAAAAATCTCACTTGTAGATATACTTGCATTTTTTTATTTTTTAGATGTATATCTAACAGCTTGCGAGAACTGCAGATCTCCCATCTATAGCCTTTGTTACCAGCCTCTGGAGTTTAGCTACACTGAGCTAAAAAGCTTTAAAGTGCGGTAGGTGTTTGGAGTTGCACTTTAACGAGTCGCAATTGGCAAGAATTTGAGAAGGATTACAAATATGTTGCTCCAAGTTTTACACTTCCATTCCAAAATTGTTTACCCAAATGCAACTTACCACTTGTGTGATGATTCTAAAGACAGGAAATGGAACTGTATTCCTAAAATACCTTGAAAATGCTGAGCCGAATCATAAAAATTCAATACAGCAGATATATATTTTTTTGTCAGGTGTGGTGTAAGACTATTGAAGACTATGCTTACTATTTAAATGGAATTGGCCTGGTTTTATGGTGGCATTATTCCCACTTCAAATTGTTTTATATGTGATCATTTTCTAAAATAAAATTTGAAAGTTTGTTAAACGTGTGTACTTCACATTTGTAATCACATTTTTTCCAAAGTTAAAAAGAAATTTAAACCAAAGGCGTTGTAGGTTCCAAATGAAATAGGTTTTCTTTGCAGAAATGTATGTTATGATGCAAGGTTATCTAAATTTTTGTTGGTAGTTTAGTCTTGGGATTATAGCTAGAATTCAAGTTAAAAAGCATTGTTTAGGCCAGAATATAAGTTTAGTTTTGGTAGGGGAAGTGTGGATAGGATTGTCCGCAAAACAGGCCACAATAAGCACTACAAGCGTTCGTCAAAGCCACAAGTTCTCAATGCAGTGTGCTCTGTTGGGTCATTCAAGATACGTGACGAAGGTCTCCCAAAACGGTGTACTTGGTTAAATAAACAAAAGTAATACTGGAGTCCTGACCTTGGAAGGTAATTCCTCCATGACATAAATGGAACTACTGCCTCCAATTTAAATACAAAACCTAGCAAATGTTATAAAAAAAGAGTATTGCTTACAACAATTACCATACTAGGTATCAATGTAAGCGGAAGCATTAATTTTTTTTTGTGTGCATATACACAGAAATAATCATAGATACTGAGGTGAGTGATTTTCAAGAGCTGCATATACAAATTAATTTAAGTGCTAAACTTGAGATAATTGTGCAGTTAAATTCATTTTAAAATGAACTGCACTTCATTGCGTCCAGGCTTTAGTAGTGTGAATTGTAAGGAATTTAAAGTAAATTTCACATTTGAGACCAAAATTAATGAATTAGAAAAATTATTTAATAATGTCGGGGGTTATTTTCTAATCCCTGAACTGTACAGAACTGAAATTTAAAAAAAAACAACAAAAAAGTCCAAACCGACGCTTCATAGTCACAGGTTTGCAATTGTAGCCTGAATTTTACTATTTTTGCAATTTTCTGCAATGCAGATTTTTAATCCTAAACTCCCGCCATGTTTCCAGTTCAGCTATTTTAGTTTAAAATGTGAAATTCTGACAATTCGCACTCTAGTAAGTAACCCTTTTATGTGAATAAATCAATGATAAACTTGCATGGATTTAATACATTTATAAATAATATCCGTGGAGACCTTGTATTATCATTTTATTCAGATGACGCATGCATTGAGACACAGGTAATAATTTGAACCACGTTAAATTAAAGCTTTATTAATATAAAGTGAGTGGACATGGATTTTAGGCTTGGTCATTGACCACTGACAGGAGTTTGGCTAAACACAGCCCAGTGCGCATGCGCGGAGCCCGCTCTCTACTGAGCGACCCTAAACACGGAAGTGACGTCACGACGTCTCCCAGGGCAGCGAAGCCACAGCCAGGGCCCATCATGGCGGCGGATAGGACTGAGTCTCCCGGCCGCTGAGTGAGCGGGTCCCGCTCCGTCCTGTTCGTCCTGGGGGACCGTGTCAGCGGCAGTCAGCACCCGTTACTCTGTGCATGGGAACCCGGTGCACAAGCTGTCACTATAGTTTACTACAAGTCTGGGGAAAGGAAGTATTACTCTTATTCTCCCACAGAGCCCCCCCATCAGGAGGCATGTGACCCCCCAACACCTCTGGGGAGACCAAGGAAGGAAAAGCAAGGACACTGTGCTCTTAACACCATAGCTGGTGCTGGGAGCTGGACTTATGGTGCCCACCCATTGGCTGCTCGGGGCACCTCTATAATCCCACATACTGCCTGTCACAGGGACTGCTGGAGGTGCCCACCTTAGGGGTGTTCAGGACACTCTCTATCATCACTTCTACTGCTTGTAAGAGAGATTGTACTGGAGGTCCCCACCCTATGGGTGATCAGGACCCTTTCTCTAATCACTTCTACTGCTTGTGAGAGGGGTTGGGCTGGAGGTCCGTACCCAGGGGTTGCTCACGACCACCCCTCTTGTCTTAAATTCTCTCTGGGACTGGGCTGGAGGTGACCACCCTGTGGGTATTCAAGACCCCCTTTAAACCTTTTTACTACCCTTGACAGGAACTGGGCTGGAGGTGCCCACTCTGTGGTTGGCCAGGACCCCCTTTAAATCTATATATTGCCCTCCCTCTATTGTTCAGGACCTTTTCTGTAATCCCAAATAATACCTGTGACAGGTGAACTGCAGGTGCCCACCCTGTGGGTATACAGGTAAGGATTGGAGGTACCCAAACTGTTGGTTCTCAGACCCCACTCTAATCCCATACACTATCAGTGCCAGGAAATACATTTGAGGCACCCACACTGTTTGTGCTCAGGATCTTTTAAAACCCTTATACTGCCTGTACCAGGGACTGGACGTGCCAATCCTGTGTATGTGTGTTAAGGAAACGCCTGACCTCTATACTGCTCTAAGTGCATAAGTTACCTGCACTGGGTGACAGTAACACAGGTTCACTTTATTTCTACTTGAAAGTTTGGTATGTACAAATTCAGATCTATGCAAAAACTGACTCTGAATGAAATCTGCAAAGTGCACATTTTCAAAATTTGGTTCTCTTTTTTTGTGGTACATACTAGACAACACTATTTTCCAACTTATGAATTTTATTTAGAAACAGAATTTGTTGAACACATAAGCCAAAGACGACTTCCAAAGAGACTATTTGTTATCACTAGAGAAAGAAAGGAACCTCCTTTTTAAAGTTGTTTTGTTTTTAACTAACCTAAGTAGCTGAAACCGCTTTATTAAGCAACAGGAATCTGGATGCTGTGAATACGACCTAACAAGACTTTCTGGCAATCTTAAAGGAAACTGTGTTCTGCTTTTTGCATTGCATTTTCATCCTATGGGGCAGCAGCCTGGGAAAGTGCTTGGGGACCAGAGGCGGCCAAGCCTGCCTGCCTTACCCTTCATAAAAGGAGCTGGGAAAAAGGATTCTGCTAAACATGGAGGACCTCCTTGCAATGTCTTTGTGGAGCATGGTAAGGGGTTGTTACTTGTATGATCTTTAGAGTCTGTAATGCTGTTGATGGCACTTAAAATGCCTGTTCGCACACTGGTGGAGAAGTCTGCTTGTATTGAAACATGGTTTTGTTCTGTTATTTGTTCTCCAGAATATTGTGGAATTATTTAGCCCATTGGTGTATGTGCTAAGCTTTCCTTTATTTTCTACAACTGGTGCACTTTTTAATGTGGCATAATTTATAAAATCACTTGTACCATGGTTATTCACTAAAGTGTCAATTGTTGGAAATTTTTAAGTGAATTTACAATTTATAGGTCAAAATAGCAAGTGGGGTAAAGACAATCTCATAACCTTGGTTTCGGTTTGGTTTAAATCCATTACTCTTCTTCTTTTGCCAGACTTAAGAAATTTCTTAAAGGATAACACCGAGCACCATAACCACTACAGTCTGTAGTAGTGATAATTGTGCCTGGAGTGCCCTATGCACTGGCACTGGTAAGAAGGCAAACTGTTTTAGTGCCATCTCCCATGGGTCCTAGTGGGTCCCTGAGGCTAAAGCCCCTGCTACCCATCTTATCCTTTTATAGAATATCTGGGTTAAAGCAATACTTCAGCACCTTAACAACTTAATCAAAATTAAGTTATGGTGTCTGTTGGTCCATGGTGCTTCCTTACCTTTAGGGGTAAAACTGGTAAATGTTCCTGAGTCATGTACAGGGGTGAGGAGTGTTGCAGATGTAAGCACAAAATTTACTTACCGCCGCAGCACTTCATATGGTTGTCATCGGTCCATTCATGCACACTTGGGAATTAGTATGAACGTGCTGCATGAGCGTATACATATTAAGGAATTCCGTCTATGATGCCTGTGTGATGACCCAACGCGGTTTAAGCATGTTTACATTATATATTCTGACAATAATAATGCTCTATTATGTTCACTTATAAACGATGTATCTCAAAGATAGCTATTATTTTAATGGAGAATTGAGAAATTCATTTTTAAATACATTGTTTTTATTTATATGTGCTGACCCTTAAAGGACTATAAGCACCAGTTAAGTGTGGTGGATATGGCACACAGTGGCTTTGGGTGCTCTCCAAAGTGTTTGGGAACAGTTTGACAAAAATCTAAACTTTCTTCAGCACCCGTTGTCCACCCTCTTCTCTAACCACATTAATAATGAGGAATTTACACTTCTGCATTATCATGGCCAGTTTCATCCAACCAGGATGGCCGTGATTGGCTAACCCAACCCCCACTAGCTGTTTGGTAAAGTTAAGTTTTGATAAACCTTATAGTCCTTTTGCTGAATCAGTCTTATAGTGTTAAGGTATAATTGGCAATCTGACTGGAAAGGAGCTCTAAAATTTACTTTTGGATTCATTGTTACGTAAGTAATATGGATACTTCCTCTTTTGTTATGAAATAACACATTCATTGGTTACTGGAAATAAAACTGACAGTTTCCTAACTATGGACAGACTGTCTTACACATAATTAAAGATTTCCTCTAACCAAAAGACAGTGGCTTAATAAAATACTGTTTTTGGTTAAAATAACCATACTTGCACACATCAGACCCTACTTAACGCCAGATGCGACTATGGTGCTGGTCCATTCCACTGTCCTTTTGCGCCTTGAATACTGTAATCCGCTTCTCAGTGCTCTTACTTGCTCCCAACTTGAGCCAGTCCATAATGAATGTGGGCGGAGAGGCTCATCTTCCTGCCCGCCCACACATCCCATGCCTCACCCTACTGTTAGTCCCTACATTGGCTTTCTGTAAGGTATAGGGCTCAATATAAAATTCTGGTTCTTGCTTTCAAATCTCTACATAATGCTGCTCCCACCTATCTATCCTCCCTAATACACAAGTATGTCCCGTCTAGGCCCTTACGCTCTGCTGAAGACTTACGTCTATCTTCTGTCCGTACTCCAACCTCTGATGCTCGCCTTTAAGACTTCTCAAGGGCTGCACCATTCCTGTGGAACTCATTTCCCTCCTCCCTAAGATGCTCACCCAGTCTCCAATCCTTCAAAAAAATCGTTAAAAACCCACTTCTTCATAAAAGCGTATCAATTAAACTGTCAATTGCTCCCGACTGATTCCTCTCT